TGCACGCCAGATGGCCCTCTCTCGACACCTGCAATTTGCCCCAGTGTATCCATCAGCAGCCTCACCTTTGTGCCTCTGATTACTTCCTTTTAGTAGTGGAGCTGCTAGAACAGGTCAGCAAGAGAACCGCAGGTTCTTCTGGAGCCTTATTGCATGTACAGCATTCCAGGGAGAGGAGCCCTTGGTGGCCTCCGCACAGCCTGGCGTGCTTTAGAAGAGCTGGGCTAGAGCAAGACTAAACCAGGCTGCTGAGCTGCAGCGCCTGGCGGTCCTCACCAAAGTCAGCCAGGGACTTTGGAATGTTTTAGCTGAAAAGAAAAAATAGGTGTGTGGCTTGCTTCGGTGTAGGTGTGAGTACATTTCTTTTTCTTGAGAAAATCACCACAGTCATTGCATTTGAAATGTGCTGCAGGAACCTGTCCCCAAACGGAAGCAAGGAGAGCACAATCCTTCTGGCTTCAGGGAAGCAGGATTTTCTTTCCCATGGGGTTTCTTGGGAAGCCTAAGAGCCGCAGGTCAGTAGAGAAAGGGGCTAAAGAAAGGAAGTCACAGAAGCTGTCCAGGCACCTTCTGGTTGCCCCATTCTTTTTATGTTCCACTTCCTGATTGCCCAGGAATGCTATAGTCCATCAGAGTGAAAATCCTGCCTGCGGGATGTGGAGAAAGCAAGGGAAGAGCCTGGCTGGCCTCTCTTTCCTATATAAGAGAGAGAGAGAGAAATCTTCCCCAAATGTCCCTTCTCCACCCCCCTCCCAGGTTTGGGCTCAGTTGTTTTTCATTGGCCCAGAGCTGTTAATATTTCCCGGCTCTGTCTCGTCCGGACAGGCTGCCATGGAATGAATGGAGGTTGTGAGTGGGTATCTTATAAACCTTTCTCTTCCATTCAGTGGAACTTCTTCTATGCCACAGGTGTCAAACTGCTGGCCCACAGGCCGGTTGCATCATATGGAGGCCGTGCCCACCCCAGCTCCGGCAATGCAAAAAAAAAGTCATGATACGTTGCAAGACGTCACGTGACATGGCGAGTTTGACACCTGTGTTCTATGCCAACTCAGAGAACAGCTAGTCTGAAAAAGGCAAATGCCAGGTGGAGAATGAGATCATTTTAACAACTGCTAATATCCTAGTGCCTAAATAGTTAATGCACTTGAATCCAGATGAACCCAAAGATGGTCTGTTTTCATGCTCCCTTGGGTATTGCTAGCTTGAAGTTTGGATCTTCCTGGTTTCATGACTCCTGCCTGCACAGCAAGTGGAGGCCTTGGCCAGGCCAGTTGTGGTCTTCTGGGCAAGTGTTATTGATGTACTGGTCACCTTGTGGCTGGACATTGTAATATATGTTTGTGGGACCGACTTTGAAGAGTTATCTGGAAGCTTCAGTTGATGCTACAGGAGTCAGCCTAGCTTGTTTGGATCCTAGGATCCTGTAGGTTCACTCCTATAACAGGATCAGCACAGGAGGCAAATCAAGGTGCCGACTGTCTCCTTTGCAGCCTCCATGGCCCTGGGTCTTCCAGAGCGCCTGCTCCAGGCTGGGTCTGCTTGACCAGTAAGAGCTGGGAGAAGGAGTTTGCTAATGCCACCTCTAGGGGCCCCGTGGTGGGGCCTTCTTAGTGATATCCTCCCTCTTGGAGAGTAGCTTGTTCTTTGGTATCCAGCCTTGTTGGGCTTTGGTATCCAGCATTGGGGGAGGGTGTCTGTTAGGGGATGCTTGCTTCAGGTTGAAAGGTTTCTGTGGGCTGATTATCAGAAGGGGCTTGGATGGCATCTTAAAGGGCAGGGAGGCAAAGTGGTGGGTGGGGCATTGTTCTTCCTCCCCTGATACTAGAGCCTGACATGAAAAATCCAGGGAAGTGAGGGAGAGGAGGGGAAGATGGGCAGAAGAAAACAAAGCCACAGGCTGCTGTAGACGCAGATGCCACATACAGGAGTCCGGCCAGTTTGGAGAGGAGGCGAAAAAAGAGGAGAGAGGTAGAAATAATCCCTTGCCTGAGGCCCCAGGGGAGGCTGGGGCTCGAGTGCAAAATATCACATCTCCAAAAGAGAAGTGGGGGGGGGAGGAGAAGGCTCCTCCTCCTCCACGGTACACAGTAACCAAGAATTCCTGTGCTTACCAGGGAACTGATGGCCTTTCTTAAGTCCTTGCAGAGAAGCTCCTGGCATCTTGGGAGAAAAGGGGGAAGCTTGGTCATGCGAATCTTCCTTTCCTTGTGCACACTCAGGCTCTGTTTTTTTTCTCCACACCTTCTGCAGGTCGATGGGAAAGGGTGGCCATCACAGGGCTTGCCCTGCCCTGCCCTGCCCTGCCCTTCAAGGTGGTCAAGAGGATTGGTGAAGGTTTGGATCCGAGTCTCCTGAGCTCGGCCAGCCAGTTTGCAGCCACTCTGCACTGGATCTGCCCCTTTCCCTGGCCGAGGGAGGGATGGAGGGAGGGTTGTTTCTGGTGAGATGGGATGGGAGAAGGCTCTGTGTTTCGAAGAAGCAGTCTGTGCACAATTAAAACTTGTTTCTGGTAAACCTCATTCCAGGAAGATGAGCTTTTAACAAAAGGCTTTTGACAGCTGAGGGGTATTTCAATTTTTTTTTTAAATGCTGAAAGAAAAATCAATACATTTTTCTGGGTTATACATATTCAGAACAGGCTAGATATTTCCATTATAATGGAAAATGGTGTCTGTACCCATCTCGCCTGTCAGAGTTGCACCATTGCATTTTCCAAGCCACTGCTAAATATTTCAGACCCAATTTGATTGTGGTTTGTGACAGCTCATGTTTCTCGGCTGTTGAATCTCCTGGAATGGGATGCGGGGGGTGTGGGGAGCCAGCGCAGCCCTCCACTTTCCTCTTCCTGCTTTAACCCTCCCCCTCGCCTCCCACAGCCACATCAGCCTGACCGTGTTGGTAAGGACTGTCATTTTGTTAAGCAAACATCTGTGAGGCATGAATCCCAGAGAGAGGCTCTGAGTGGGAGTGAGTGAGAATTGGCTTTGCTGCCTAAAATCTGGATGTCTGCCAGGAGGAAGGGCAGGAGATGTAGAGCAAGTTTTCCTGCGTGGAAATATGAGTCCACTCTGTGCGCTTCAGTTTAGGGCCTGGAGGTGCCCTTGCTTGAGACTGTCTCCAATAATTCACTCACAGTGAAATTCCTCAGGCAGGCAGCCTGAAAGCAAAGAGTGGCTTTACTGATGCTCTGATGCCAATTTCCCCATATTTGTTGAGGCCCTGAGAGCAGCACCCAGGAATACAGTGGGCTGAGTGGAATTTAATAATCCCTAATGGATCTCTAAGCTCTGCTTCTCATTATTATTCTAATTTTGGAGGGGAAATGGATCTTCAGATCCTCAATATGGCCTTTACTTGAGCTCCTGGTGTACTGAAGTTTATGGCCACCTTAGAAAAAGACTTCTTGGCCCCAGTTGTCTCTTTAAGATGCATTGTTCTGTTCTGCAGTTCACAAAAGCTTCTGCCGTCATGAATGTGGGTGTCTAAGGTGCCACATGGTTCTGCAGGCACATGGAGAACTCACCAAAGCAGGCCTTTTGCATGGCTGAATTCCTGCTATCTGCAGACTTCCCTTTCTCCTCTCCTGAAGTGCTCAGCTTTGCTGCTGCCCCCACTGAGTCCTGATGGGGCAGCCAGTCCAACAAGGGCATGGAGAAGAGAATGTGCAAGGAGTATCCAGTTTATTAACTCCTCCCCTCCCCTTTTTTAATTGGCATTCACATTCATGGTTTTATGGCTTTTAAGCATCCTAATGAGCTGTTTCACTTCATCTTGTTGAGGATAAACCTCAAGACTTTGGGGCAGTTCTCCTTGATTTCCTCTGCCCCAGGCTAGCAGCTCTTTGCTCCCAGGGAAGGGGTGATGTCCATGAGGGGCTGCGGAGCCTCAGCAGCCCCCTCCAGCCGAGTCTCTCAAACCTCAGAGACGGAAAGGCTGGTCTGGGGCTGCTGTTTCTTAAGATGGATGGGGGGGAGTCTGCCAATCCAGCACCTGCCCCTGTGCTGATGGGGCTATTGGGCAGGGAAGGGAGAGAAGTTGGCTGCTGCACTTCCCGGATTGTACTCCTTGCTGCAGAATCTGCCATGGCGATGAAAGTGGTTCAGTCTCCAACAGGGCTACTGATGGGTGAGCCATTTCTGCAGAGCAGCAGAATCAGGATGGGGGTTGTTGTTTTCTGGAGTCTTCAGCTGCGGCATTTCCCATGGGGCTCCTTGTACTTGTTTCTCACCAACTGGTTTGCTTGGGCTGAACTGGTTCTGCCCTGAACATGGCCATGGTTGTGCTTCGCTTCCTTGGGGCCAAGGGCTGCCCCCTCCCTTCTCTCCTTAGAAAAGGGGAAGCCTTTTTGGCCGTGCCGGGTTCACATTCCGGTATGCCTTCTTACCTGTCTCACTTCACCTTCTGTTTGGGGGTTCTCACCTCCCTTTCTAACGTCCTGAAGAAAATCCCTTTTAGAGTCTGGGGTCACAGCAAACCTTGTGGCCTTTCACCCCTTCTTTTGCTTTTGATATCCTGGAAAGGCCTGTTGAGTTTCTATAGAGCCTGTGTCTGAGATTATCAGCTTTTTTGACTTCATGGTTTTGTGGCCAAGAAGTAAGTCCTATCTTCCCCCTTCCTCCCCCCACTCCACTAACTCTTGCTGATTGTGTGGATTGTGTTTCTTTACTTCCCTCTCTTAGTGCAGGGGCTTCTCCCCACTTCCCTTTCAGGAAATGTAGGTTGGTCTGTTAGCTGAAGCTGAGATTCAGGTGCCTCATCTGGGATTTAGGAGAAGGTGCAGAAGGCTGGATTTTAATCCTCAGTGGTTCTCTCTGCCCAAGAGGCCATTTCATTTCTTGAGGTCTGGGGAGCATGGGAAGCTGACTGCTGGGCCCCCAGAAGTTGAGAAAGGCTGGGACTTCTTGGAGGACCTCCTCTGGCTCTGAGCATGGCTGGAGTGGCAACTGAGCCTGCTGCAGGAGGCCTCAGGGCGGCTCTCCCTCTCTCGTCCCTTCCAGAGGAGCTGATTGGAGATGCGGAAGGACCTGGCGAGTCTCTTGGTGCAAGGCACCCTGATGAGCCAGCCAAAGAAATGGAGAGCACGGCTGACCAGGACCAAGTCAAGTGGGCAGGTGAGGAGGGTGGGCAGAGGCCTCTGCTTTGCTGGTCCTGCTGCTCCATGTACGTTCGCAAGCACCCAGAGGGTGTTCGACCAGCGCAAATTCCTGTGGGGTGTCGGGTGAATTTGAATGCTGTTTTATCTGTCTATCAAACTGCTAGTATGAAGCTGAAGGGATTCTTCCTGAGGGAGAACGTATCCCTCCCTTGTATTCACACACACACACACAAGTGTTTTGCCTGCTCGGAGCCAGCAGTGGTGTGGCACAAAGAGGGGGTATTGTTGCATTGAGCAGGGATGAGGGAAGCACAAAGGAGAAGGCTGCAGATCAGCAGAGAGGCCTTTGCAACGTCTCCCCCTATTCGTTCCACATACGCAATTCTGGGACACAGAGACCATGACTTGGTCTGAATTGGGCTTAGAGGCGGTTTTATAAATATGCAGCCCCAGGGCTGTTTGGGGCTAAAGTAAATCCCTCCTGGCCAACTTCCTGCTGCCAGTACAGAGAAGAATTCCTAGAGCAGCCCTGAAAGTCTAGGAATGCCATCTCTTTCTCCCTTTTAATTTTCAGCCCCCTCCCTACCACCAGCATGGCAGAGGCAGCAAAGGATGGGTGGTTGAGAGAAGGGGGCAGGAGGGGGCAGCCTTCCAGTAACCTGGGCACCCAGTGGGTGAGGCTGTGCCGGTTCACTGGATGGGCACAGCCTGGGTCCTTCTGTATGCAGAGGCACCACTTACGGGAGCCCGAATGGGGGAAGGCCTGCTCGGCCTGGCTTTTGGCCATAGGCAGAGGATCCTCAGGCCCAGCTGAGTGGGGAGGCTGGCAGCAGCTTCAATCCCAACTACTACTTATCATGTCGCCTTGTGGGTGACAGCAGACTTTGCCTGAGGCTGAAGTGGGAGGAAGTCAGTGATGGAGGGGTGCTCTGGACTGAGGCCACTGCAGGCTTTCCCCCCTGCCCACTGAGGCCACCAGATCCTGTATTCATGGAGTGATGTCTTTCTCTCTTTGGCAGACCAAGGTCCAAAAGCTGAGAAGGAGCCAGCAGACCCCCCACTTCCCTCCAAGCACGCTTCATTTTCAAGACACCCGGCGTCAACTGTCCCCAAATGGCCCACGCCATCTGACGAGGCGAAGCTTGAGCAGGTGAGATGCTGGGGTGGCGCTGGCACCTAAGAAGCCTCACCTTGCTCTTGCATTAAACCAGGAATGATCTGCCTTTGGGTCTCCAGGCAGCCCATCGCCAGCATGCAGAGCATGAGAGGGAGAGCGTGTCCTGAGAAAAGTTGGCCAGGTGTGATGATGGGCTGGTGAGGCATGCCATACTGTCACCTGCCACCTTTCGACCCCTGCAAGCACCTGCTTTCTTTTTGCCCCCAGATGTACCAGTGCCCCTACTGTAAGTACAGCAACCCGGATGTCAACCGGCTGCGGGTACATGCCATGACCCAGCACTCCATTCAGCCAATGCTCAGGTGCCCCCTCTGTCAGGACCTGCTCAGCAACAAGCTCCACCTCCAGCTGCATCTCACCCACCTGCACAGTGTGTCTCCTGACTGTGTGGAAAAACTCCTCTTGACGGTAAGTTCCTGGGGGAGGGCTTTTGTATCCCTCCACAGCAGGACTTGTTCAAAGCATCCAGCCAAGCATGTTAGTGGGTCAAGAGAAGAAGGGGCTGTGGGAAGAGAGGGAAGGGCAGCCTGGGCAGCCTGAGGGCTCTGGAGGGACCTGAAGACCCTGCCGGCCTTCTGCAGCCTGTCCCGGTGTGGAACTGGGAGACCTCCTCCAGCTGCCATGGAGGCACAATGTCTGCCATGTAGAGTCCATGACCTTCTCTGCAGCCTCCTTTTGGCTTTCTTTTGCCCCCCAGATTGTTTGCTCCCTGCTCAAACAATCTGCAAAACTCTGGGCTTCTCTAACTTGTCACTTCTTGGACGTTGACCCTGATGGGGCTCTTTCCAAGGGGTGCCACTCCTGACTTGGGAGACTCTCTTCCTCACTTTCCTGAGAGGACTCTTATGCTGAGAATGGTGCCCAGGGTAGCCTCCTTGAGGTGAGAGGCATTTTGGCTGCAGCATTTGCCAGCAGTGGAGGACAGAGCTTAAGGAGAGAATGGGTGAGGTAGCCCCTTCCCATGAGAATGTCCTTGCCCCCATGCTGCTGGGGAAGGAGACCTCCTCTGCTGCCAGCAATCTCAACTGCTGGATTGCAAAGGCAATTTGGCACTGGACGAAGGGCTGGGGCTGACCTTGGAGGCCTGGGCTGCTGCTGCCCAAAAAGGGGAAGGCGCAGCTGGCTGCAGTGGGCCTGTGTCTCCACTCAGCTTGGGCTTTCCCTTCAGGTTGTGGCAGAAGGCCACCCTCCTGGCTGCTGGAAACAAGGTTCCTCCTTAACCCAAGAAACTCTCCGTAAACAGCCTGGTGGGAGGGTAGGGGGGAGCATACTGACCGAGGGTATTCTAAGTCATGCGGACCAAAGGCTCCAGTGGCCCCGTTTGGCTGCAGGACTGGGGACTGGCCTTGTTTGGGTCAGGCCAGCCCTGCTTTCCTACAGCTGGGTAGCCCCCCTCCTCCACCGTGCAGGGAGCAGATGGAGGCTTGGCCAGAAGACCCTGGAGGGGGGGTGCCCTCTCCTTTCTCTTCCCTGCCTCTTCCCTGCTCCCATTGTTTGCGTCTCCCGTCAGCTGTCCTGTGACTTCCCAGCCCCACTCCCCACCGGTCGGTGGCTCTCCTTCCCCATTTGGAAGAAGGTAATGAAAATAATCGGCCATCATTAATTTGGAGACACGTTGGCCAATTAGGTGGCCCAAATTAGAAGCAACCTTGATGGTGTGCCTAATAAAGCTTTTTCCCTTTCTGGCTGCTGGCCGGCTGGCCCTGCCTCGGGTCTTTGTGATGGAAATTGCCTTCTTTGGCTGGCTCCCCATAGGAAAAACCCTCCCCCACCAGGCTGCAGAATTTATTTGGGGCCAATTATATTCCGAGAGGAGGTAGGAAACTGAGAGAGTCCCTTTTTAAAGGAGGTGGTGGGTGCTCCTGGGGGGGGCTGGTTAGTTGTGGGGGGTGGGAGTGGATGTGTGTGTGTGTGTGTGTGTGTGTGTGTGTGTGTGTGAGAGAGAGAGAGAGAGAGAGAGAGAGAGAGAGAGAGAGAAGGAGGATCCCAAGAATCTTGAGTAACCCTAGGTCGGATGAGCCAGATGGGGATCTGAGGGACCTGGAATGAAGATGCCCCTGGGAGGGGGGGCTTTTTTGCCTTTGCCCCTTGCAGAAAAGAGCCAATGGGGATGAGAAGCCCAGCACAGTGCAGTGATTGGGCTGCCAGTTAATATTTCAGGGGAAATTAATTGATGGAAAGTGGGGGCAGACAAAGAATCTCGCTTATTGCCTTTTAAAATCCTAATCAGGAATTATGATTAAAGGCACCGCAAGACAAGGGGAGGCCGCATGAATTAGTATTTTCTCTCTTTCTTACTTGGCTTACTTCAGTCTTTCAACTGCAAAGGCCTCTCTTTCCATCGTTATTTGTAGCCACCTGCATTTCCCTAATTAACGTGCATGAAAACAATTACAGATCCACTGTGCTGGGCATTTGTCTGGCAAAAGACCAGACTTGGCTGGAAAAAGGGCTTGGAAAAGGCATGGAAGAGTTTGGGAGCACTGCTGGCGGGACCCAGCAGCCCCAGAGTTTGGTCCCTTTCCTCAGGTCATCCCAGTGGGGCCATCCTTGCCTCTGGGTTCCTGGGAAAGGCCTTCTCCCTGGGCTGGGGCTTGGTGGGCCAAAGGCTGCAGAGACACTTGGGCCAGCCAGCCAGCCGGGCTGCTCCTTTCCTTGCCCTCTCTCGAGGAGGCGGCCTGAGAAAAGGAAGGCACCCAGGACACCTGGCCTATTTCCTAGGTTTCCAAAAGGAAGCCCCAGATTGTTGTCATTTCCCCTGGCACTGCTTCTCCTTCAGAAGCAGTTCTGCCACCCATAGCAGTCAGCGCAGTGCTGGAGACATTCAGCAACAGTCTCTTTACCCCATCCCCATTTCCTGCTTCTGGTTGTCACGGCAGTTCTGTCCATGCACCTCAAGAGGCCCGGAGCACCCTTGGCCCATGGCTCCTTCCCTGCCTGCCTGCCAAAGAAGTTGCTGTATCTTGGGGCAGTAAGGCCACCGGCGGAATCTTGGTTCTTGAAGACATGGGCCTCTTTTGGAGCTTTTGGCAGCCATTCTGAGTGGATGACCCAGAGATTCAGCTTTCCAAGAGCGTCACACATCAAGTGAACTTTCTTTTTTCCAGCCTAAGAGATCCTGGGGAGGAAGATCTTCTAATCCTGAGCTTGGAGCATCTTCTCCCCAGCCACAGTATGGGCTGTGAGGGAGGAGGCCCCTTGAGTGGGTGTGTGCACATTCAGAGTGTGCTCCAGGAAATGGGTTGGAACGTGGCAATTAACTTAACAAGGTCTTCATTGGGGACGGGGCCTGAGTGGTGGGGAGAAGGGAGAGGGCAAAGGGGGGCTGTCATGGTTCCTTTTGCTCCTGAGTCCAGAAAGCGCATTTGAAGCCTTCCTCCTTATTCCTGGCCTTCTTTAGCTGGATCCCACTTTGCTCCTTCGGTTGAGCTCCTTTGGGGTTGTCATCCCCAAAACAAGGGCGCAGCCATCTTTGTTCAGGACTATGGTTCTTTTTCACATCTCGCTTTAGTTAAGAACTTTTTGCATTCTGAGCCACTCAACCTCACTTCCTCACAGGCTACCCAAGAATTGTGCAAAAACACAGTTACAAATTCAGTTTGAATCATGCAAAACGGAGAAATAAAAACAATGCTTTTCTTTGAGCGGATGCCATTAGTTACGTCTGAATGTAATTGCAGGAATATGCTTGATCGACTTGAAAAACAGAAGGAGCTGAAGAATAAAACCCCGGGGCTTTGTTGGGGCTGAAAAGCCCCCGGCCTTGCAAAAGGCTTTAAGTGCTGTCTCCTGGTTTTCTTTTGGGCTTTGACAGGTGACCACGCCAGAGATGATGATGCCCAGCAACGTGTTCCTCTCAGCAGCAGCAGCAGCGGATCGAGATGGAAATGAGGAATCCCTCAAGCAACCTGGTCAGTCACACTTTTTCCTGGGCCTGAAAGAAAACTCTTGCCAAAGTGTCCCTGAGAGGGAGCTGGCAGGGCCCTTGACATGATCTCGGCCCTGGGTTGGCCCCTATGAACTGTGGGAGCTCAGAGCTGGCCTTGGGCAATGTGGTTGGCATCCACAGCTCTGGCTTGCTCATTCCAGAATGGGTTTGAAGGAAAAGTCACAAAGGTGGCAGGTGGTTGGGATTGGGAAGGGAAGGGAAGTACACGCGCACGCACACACACACACACACACACACAGAGCCTTGATAAAATTAGGGTGAGGGAGTGAGAATTGGGTTCAAAGGGGAAGACTTTAGGCTAGGAGAAGGGGAGGACCCAAGTAGGGGAATCCCGTGCCATGCCACTGACAAGTCCTTGCTCTGTTTCCACTTCCACAGAGAGCTCAGAGGAAGGGGGCAAAAGCCTGCAATTGCTGCCAGAGGCCATGGAGTATGGCAGCAGTGGAGTAAAGCCTGCAGAATCAGAGCAGCCTAGTGTCAAAGAAGAGGCTGGATTCTTTTGCTGGAAGAAGGGCTGTGGCCAGGGCTTCAAAAGTTCTTCTGCCCTCCAGACCCATTTCAGCGAGATGCACGCCAAGCGGCCACAGCTTCCTGTTTCTGATCGCCACGTCTACAAGTACCGCTGCAACCAGTGCAGCCTGGCCTTTAAAACTATTGAAAAGCTTCAGCTGCACTCCCAGTACCACGTCATCCGGGCAGCCACCATGTGCTGCCTTTGCCAACGGAGCTTCCGCACTTTTCAGGCCCTTAAGAAGCACCTGGAGACCAACCACCTGGATCTGAGCGAAGCCGACATCCAGCAGCTGTACAGTGGACTTCTGGTCAATGGAGAACTGTTCGCCTTGGATGACCCTTCATTGCCTGAGGACCACACCATGGTGATGGAGGAGGATAAAGAGGAGGAGAGCAGTGACCAGGAAGACAAGCAGAGCCCTGCAGGAAGTGACTGCGGGTCCCTACAGGAAGATTCTGGCTCAGAACCCAAACGAGCTCTTCCCTTCCGGAAGGGCCCAAACTTCACCCTAGAAAAATTCCTGGACCCAGCCCGCCCATATAAGTGCACAGTTTGCAAAGAATCCTTCACACAGAAGAACATCCTTCTAGTCCACTACAATTCAGTTTCTCACCTGCACAAGCTGAAAAGGGCCCTCCAGGAGTCTTCCGCCAGCCAGTCCGAGGCGACCAGTAGCCCTGACCACAAGCCCTTCAAGTGCAGCATCTGCAGCGTGGCCTACAGCCAAAGCTCCACACTGGAAATCCACATGCGCTCTGTGCTACATCAGACCAAGGCACGAGCAGCTAAGCTGGAGGCAGTCAGCAGCAGTGGCCACAGCAGTGCTTCCCTGGGCTCCTCCATGCTCAGCCCCTTGGGTGTTGGTACCATGAGCCTCGCCTCCTCCTCTGCCGCCGCCCAGAGCAACATAAGCACAGGTAGCACTGGCTCTGCTCCTACCCTTCTCAACCAGGCCTCTTGTGATACCACAGGGCAGCCTCCTCTGAACCTCCTCATCAGTACTGGCCACCCATCCACAGGCCCCTTGAGCCCTTCAGAATCTAAAGAAGCCAATCCTAAGAAGCCAGGAGATGCACTTGCATGCCGCCAGCCACTGCCCCCACCATCACATTCTTTGGTGCAGGCCAAGCTGCAGCAAGAGCTCCAGCAGCAGGCGTCACTTCTGCAGTCCCAGCTTTTCAGCCCTGCGCTCTTGCCTCACTTTCCCATGGCCCCAGAGGCCCTCCTGCAGCAGCAGCAGCAGCTATTTTTCCCCTTCTATCTCCCCAGCGCCGAGTTGCAGCTGAACACCGAGATGAGCTTGCCAATGGCCAATGGCACCCTGATGCTGGCGGGGAGTGGGCCAGGCCTGCTGGAGGACCTGAAAGCCCAGCTTCCACAGCCAAGCCACCCGCAGATGCAGCAGCAGCAGCAGCAGCAGCTTCCGCTGGCCCAGCATCCTTGCGTGCTCCTCCCGCCAAGCCTGCTCCCGGACAAGAAGGCCAAGTCTGTGGGGAAGGAAAAGGAGGCCCAGCGGGAGCAAGAGATGGCAGAGAAGGGCGACAGAAGCCCTGTCTGCCAAGAGCCCCCGCCTGAGGCCAGCAAGGCCCAAGAGAAGGCTGACGTAGCGGGGGCCATGGAATCAGCCGGAAGCAGCCCTGGGGAGGCACTCTGGCTCCCTCCTCGCATTGCTGCAGATGCTCGTGGGAATGCCACCAAAGCTTTGCTGGAGAATTTCGGGTTTGAGTTGGTCATTCAGTATAACGAGAACCAGCAGAAGTTGGCCGGGAGGGCCGAGCAGGCTGACATCCTGGAGAGGCTGGAATGCGAGTCCTGCTGCAAGTTCTTCTCCAATGTGCTCATCCTGAAGACCCACCAGGAACACGTCCACCAGCACTACCTCCCCTTCCAGCAGCTGGAAAGGTTTGCCCAACAGTACCGAGAGCACTATGACCAGCTCTACCCATTGCGGCCACCGACGCCTGAGCCGGCCCCACCGCCCCCTCCTGCCCCCCCTCCTGTGCCTGCTGCCCCTCCTCAGCCACCTTCCACACCCACCCTACAGGTCTCAGCCCCACCCATGACCTCTCCCTCCATCATACCCGCCCAGCCTTCCTTGCCCCTCACGCAGCTCCCTATGCCCATGGAGCTACCTCTCTTTTCACCACTCATAATGCCAAGCATGCCTTTACAAGCCCTGCCGGCCCAGTTACCACCCCAGCTTGCCCCTGTTGACCCTTTACCAGCAGAACTGGCCCAGCTGTACCAGCATCAACTCAACCCCGGCCTTTTGCAGCAGCAGCAGCAGCAGCAGAACAAAAGACCACGGACACGAATCACCGATGACCAGCTCCGGGTCTTAAGGCAGTATTTTGACATCAACAATTCCCCAAGTGAGGAGCAGATCAAGGAGATGGCAGAGAAATCTGGCTTGCCACAGAAGGTGATCAAACATTGGTTTCGTAATACGCTTTTCAAAGAGCGCCAGCGCAACAAGGACTCGCCGTACAACTTCAGCAACCCTCCAATCACCAGCCTGGAGGACTTGAAAATGGATTCCCGGCCATCTTCTCCAGAGCCTCAGAAACAGGAGTACTGGGGAAGCAAGAGATCCTCCCGAACTCGCTTCACGGACTACCAGCTTCGGGTGCTGCAGGACTTCTTTGATGCCAACGCTTATCCAAAGGATGATGAATTTGAACAGCTTTCCAACCTGCTGAGTCTCCCAACTCGGGTGATCGTGGTGTGGTTTCAGAACGCTCGCCAGAAAGCCAGAAAGAATTATGAGAATCAGGGGGAAGGCAAAGATGGGGAGCGACGGGAGCTGACAAATGACCGGTACATCCGAACGAGCAACCTGAACTACCAGTGCAAGAAGTGCAGCTTGGTCTTCCAGCGCATCTTTGACCTGATCAAACACCAAAAAAAGCTCTGCTACAAGGATGAAGACGAAGACGGGCAGGAGGACAGTCAGAATGAAGACTCCATGGATGCTATGGAGCTCCTGACCCCCAGCAGCTCCTCCTGCAGCACCCCGATGCCTTCCCAGGCTTATGGCACGCCCGCCTCTTCTGCCAGTGTGGCCTTTCTGTCACAGAGTACTGCTGAGGCAGATAGTGATTGCCCTGCTGCCTGTCAGTCTAAAGCAAACGCCACTGATGAGAAACCAAAGCACCCTGAGCCTTCAAGTATGCAACACAGTCCGACTTCAGAGAAGCAACGGCAACCAAAGCAAGATGGGCAGCCGCCACCGCAGAACCAAGGAGAGCCGAAGCTGAGCTCAGTGCACCCAAAGGTCTCCCCACCCCTCCAGCAGCAGATGGCCCACCCTCTGCAGGGTGGCCTGCCCCAGCCAAGCCCTGCTCCCTCCCAGCTGTCCCACCTGCCCCTCAAACCACTGACCACACCGAGTGCCCAGCAGCTGGCCAACTTGCCCCCTCAGCTTGTTCCATATCAGTGTGAGCAGTGCAAGCTGGCCTTCCCTTCGTTTGAGCACTGGCAAGAACATCAGCAGCTGCATTTTTTGAGCACTCAGGGCCAATTTCTCCACCCTCAATTCCTGGACAGGACGCTTGATCTGCCCTTTATGCTCTTTGACCCCAGTAACCCTCTGCTGGCGAGCCAGCTGCTTTCTGGGACCCTCCCCCAACTGCCCCTGAGCTCGGCCGCCTCACCCTCTGCCCCAACCGCTGCCATGGGCGCCCTGAAGAGGAAGCCGGAGGAGAAAGCCAGCATCAGCCCTGCTGGGAATGACAGCAGCACTGGGGGAGAGGAGCCCCAGCGGGATAAGCGCCTCCGGACCACCATCACCCCTGAGCAGCTGGGAGTGCTGTACCAGAAATACCTCCTGGACTCCAACCCCACACGGAAGATGCTCGACCATATTGCGCATGAGGTGGGCTTGAAGAAGCGTGTGGTGCAGGTGTGGTTTCAGAACACCCGGGCCCGGGAGAGGAAAGGGCAGTTCCGAGCAGTGGGGCCTGCTCAAGCCCACCGGCGATGTCCTTTCTGCCGGGCCCTCTTCAAAGCCAAGACCGCCCTGGAAGCACATATCCGATCTCGGCACTGGCATGAAGCCAAGCGGGCAGGATACAACCTGACCTTGTCAGCTATGCTTCTGGATTGCGAAGGAGGAGGGGGGCTCATGGGGAAGGGAGACCTCTTTGACGGGGCCAGCTTTGCACAGCTGCCTGCCCCTGGCAGTAGCAGTGACAGCCAGGGAATCCCCCTCTCTCCAGGCAGCAAATCTCTAGAGCTGTCTCCTCAGACCCTGCTGAGCCCGTCCTCCATCAAAGTGGAAGGCATGGAAGACTCTGAGAGCCCCTCAATGTCCTCTGTCCACCTGAGTTTTGACCAAGCCAAGCTGGACAATGATGACTGCTCTTCCGTCAACACAGCCATCATAGACACAACCACAGGTGATGAGGCCAATGCAGACAATGACAGTGCCACAGGGGTTTCCACAGAAGCCAGAGGGAGCTCGGGGCCAGGTGAGGGTCTGACCAAGGCTGCCATGTTAGCCCTGTCAGAGTATGAAGACAGACTCTCCTCGGGCCTGGTGAGCCCGGCTCCCAGCTTCCACAGCAGGGAGTACGACAATGAAGGCACTGTGGATTACAGCGAGACATCAAGCCTGGCGGACCCTTGCTCTCCCAGCCCAGGCACGAGTGGCTCAGCAGGCAAATCTGGGGATGGGGGAGATCGGCCAGGACAGAAGCGTTTCCGGACACAGATGACCAACCTCCAGCTTAAAGTCCTGAAGACCTGCTTTAGCGATTACAGGACACCCACCATGCTGGAGTGTGAGGTTCTGGGCAATGATATTGGGCTCCCCAAGAGAGTTGTTCAGGTCTGGTTCCAGAATGCCCGAGCCAAAGAGAAGAAATCCAAGCTCAACATGGCCAAACATTTTGGCATTAATCAAACTGGCTATGAGGGGCCAAAAGCAGAGTGCACTTTGTGTGGCATCAAATACAGTGCCCGCCTGTCTGTTCGTGACCATATCTTCTCTCAGCAGCACATCTCCAAAGTGAAAGAGACAGTTGGGAGCCAGCTGGACAAAGAGAAGGAGTATTTTGACCCAGCCACCGTCCGCCAGCTTATGGCACAGCAAGAGCTGGACCGAATCAAGAAAGCCAATGAAGTGCTTGGCTTGGCCGTTCAGCAGCAAGGCATGTTTGACAGTCCCCCTCTGCAGGCTTTGAACATTCCTGCCAACTACCCAGCAGCCCTTCAAAGCATCCCTCCTGTCCTGTTGCCAGGTTTGAACAGCCCATCCCTGCCTGGCTTCACTCCTTCCAATACAGGTGAGTTGCATCTGTCTCAGGAACTTCCCAGTTTGGCTGTCCAAAATGGGAGGAGGGGAGCTTGCCCTTGAGGGAGCTATGAGATGGATTACCTGAGGCAGGAGTCTTTGCTAGAGGCACTTCCTTTTCAGATTGGGGTGGTGGTGTCTCATTCACTTGAGAGCCATTGACCTCTTGCAGCCTAAGAGGGGAGGAGAGGAGGAGAACCTGATGACAGAGGAGAAGAATCAGCTCTCTGCCTCTGGAGTGAGGTGTGATGGGGAGGTAGGCCCGCTATAAAGTCTTTAGGCCAGGATGACCTCTGCTGGTATGGGAGGCTAAGTTGCCAGTCCCTCAGCCCAGCACTTCATCCATCAAGGGCTACCTGATCTCACTTGCCTCTGCAGTTGTTTTGGGAGGAGGAAAGATTTTTTGTACACTCGTGCTCAGTCTGCTTTCTTCAGTGTCTTCTGTCTCCCTAGTGTCCCCTCCCCCATCTACTGGCAGTGACTCCCAGCAGTGTTTGGTATTCTAGTGTAAAGGTAAAGTCGTGTCCGACTCTAGGGGATGTTGCTAAACTTTATTTAGCAACAGGGAGGGAGCCAGCATTGTCCAAAGACATTTCCGTGGTCAGGTGGCCAGCATTACTGTATGCCGAGAAGCACGGAACGCTGTTACCTTTTCTCTCCCCTCCAACCCCCCTGACCTGTCTCTCTTCTTTCTTACAGCTTTAACGTCTCCTAAACCCGGCCTGATGGGTCTGCCGGGCACAAGTGTTCCCTCGCCTGGCCTTCCCACCTCAGGATCCCCAAATAAGACAGTCTCCCTCAGCTCCCCCCCGCCAGCACAAACATCCGTGGGCTCTGCAACCCCCCTCCCACTGCGGAAGGACAAGGAGAGCGAGAAGGGGAAAGAACGCATCCCCAAGGCCAGGGGGGAGGCCCTGCCGGGGCCCAAGAAGGACAAAGGGGAGGTGCCCAACCCCAGCCTGGCCCTCCCTGCCATGAGGCCTGCCCTGGAGTATTCGGTGGAGCCCACCCAGCTGCAGGCCCTGCAGGCAGCTCTCAACATGGACCCCATGGCCTTGCTGACCAGTCCCTTCCTCCCATATTTTGTGCCCGGCTTCTCTCCATACTACGCCCCTCAGCTCCCAGGGGTCCTGCAGGGTGGATACCTCCAGCCCATGTACAGCATGGAAGGAGTCTTCCCCTATGGCCCGGCCCTGTCGCAGGCCTTGCTCGGCTTGTCTCCGGGCGCCCTGTTGCAGCACTACCAGCAATATCAGCAGAGCCTCCAGGAGGCACTGCAACGGCAAGCGCAGCTGCCCCTGCCCAAAGGCAGCCAGCCCCCCATCCATGCGGAGGGCGCCTCCCCTGAAAAAGGTCCTGCCAAAGAACCCCCCAAGCCAGATGAGCAGAAGAACACGCCCCGCGAGGGCTCTCCCCGAGGAGAGCCCACCACCGGAAGCAGTAACACCCCAGACTCCCTCTGTGACCCCTTCATTGTCCCCCCGGTGCAGTACAGACTGGTGTGCCGGAAATGCCAGGCTGGATTTGGGAGCCAGGAGGCAGCCGACGACCACCTGAAGTCCCTCTGCTGCTTCGGCCAGTCCGTGGGGATCCTGCCCGAGATGGCGCTTCAGGTGCTTGCTGGCGGGGGCGGCTCCTACCAGTGTGTGGCGTGTGACAGCACGGTGCGTGGGGAAGAGGCCCTCCGGCAGCATCTCGAGTCTGTCCCCCACAGACATCGGACAGTCCCCCGAGCAGCAGCCAGAAACGCCAAAGAGCACCCCAGTCAATTACCTCACTCTGCCTGCCTCCCTGACCCAAGCACCGCATCTACCTCGCAGCCCACCGCTCGCCCCAAGGACGGCCCCCCACCCACCGGTCCCCCCCACACCTCCAAAAAGCCCTGGCCTCCAGCGGCTTCCCCTCCAGGGAAGCCCCCGCCTCTCTCCTCATCTTCAACAGTTACCTCAAGCTCATGCAGCACCTCAGGGGTTCAGCCCTCTCTGATGCCAAGGAAATTCTCTTCGGAGGAATCTGACTCGGGCCGCGGCCGGGAGGCCGGGAGGCTGGTAGAGCCCAGCCCACCCACCCCCGGGATGGCGGCTTCCCCAGCATGGACCCCTTTCGATTGTAAGCTTTGAAGATGAACCCTTGCAAAATGAATCTAGAAATAACAAACCAGTTTCAGAAATAGACTAACTGCAATTCCAAAGCTTCTAACCAAAAAAAGAAAAACAAACCGAGAGAGAGACGCTTGGGTGGTTTTCCCAGAGATTGATGCTGGCAGCTCCACTTGACTCTGGGCAGCCGAAGGGTTTGCTGTGGCTCTCTCAAAGGTGGCTGTCCCTCCCCCAGGAATCGCCCCCCCATCCGCACAACCCCCTTAAGAGCGCAGTGGAGGCCAGCATAACTGTGGGAAAGCAGACCACCTGGGACCATTTTAAATTTCTTGCTATCTTAGCATTCAGATACCAATGGCTTGCTTGCTAAAAGGAAAAAAGAAATGTAATGTCTTTTTATTCTCAGGTCAATCGCTCACACTTTGTTCGGTTTTCAGAATCATTGTTTTATATAAATATATATATATAATTTCTTTTTTTGGTTTTGATTTTTTCCAAGGAAAGGATTTTTTGTTGTTAATTTAAAAATGGGCAGAAAGTATTCAAGAGATAAACAATGTGAACTAAGTTAGCTTTATGGGGATTTCAGGGGTATTTTTTCTGCTGAAGCCAGTTTCAAGAGGGACCATTCAGCACTCCCTTTTTCAGAAAAGAAAACACACAGAGTGTTAAGGACTTGGAGTTTTAAACAACTGACTTTCTGTATTTATGATAGATATGACCATTTTTGGTGTTGAGTAGATTGTTGCATTGGAAATGAACTGAAGCAGTATGGTAGAAATCCCCCTTTTGTGTACGTTTAGCTTTTGTATATGGTCCGGCTGGCAGCTTCTCATTCAATGTTGTCTTGTCCATTCCTATCCTGGCCAGATAGAGCCCAGTCTTAATCGCTGCAGCTTCTCTGTCTGTCCCGTTATCAGCTTCCACTTATCAGTCGCTGCCTTCGTTTCTCAGAGGGTGGCTGCAAAGTTATTTTATAAAATTAAAGGAAAAAACTCAAAGGGTTCAGAGGGGTCAATGGGATCCCTTTCAAAATATTTTTGTTGGGAGCTCAAAACTTTCTAAGATGTATACCTGTCAGTTGTGCACTTAACTACTCTCTTCTTTCAGCTTCCCTCCCTCCATGTGTAAAAGCTCCATTTTGGAAATGTCAGCCTTTGTTTCTCTCCCCTTTTTGGGGGCGCCCATGTTCCTTTTGAAGGACTTTCTGAGGTAGAGTGGGCTGTTTTTCCCTTTGTTTATTTTCTTTCCCCCAGAAGAAGTTCATGCTTTAAATAAAATCCAAAGACAAACCCTTTCAGCCACTGGTGCAGAACAAGCAAAAAAGGCATCTTTTGAGGATTTCTTTCTGTTTTAGCCACAAGACCCCATTTGACAAATAAACACACAAATGAAGGAGCCTCTGCACTTCTGCCAGCATCTGGCCCTGAACTTGGACAGACAAGTGGGGTGTTTTACAATATGCTGTGCTCAGAAGTGAGAAGAGTGAGCCTGGAGCCACCGCCCCACCAGAGAAGAATGTTCTTCTCTGATCGTTGTCCTGGAAAGGAAAATTGGTATTGCTGCCAGGCTGAGCTTGCTACCAGGTGTTTGTTTTTCGAGCCCAGTATCTGCGTGCCACCCCCCCCCCCATGCTCTGCCAATAGGGCCTGCCCAGTTTCATCTTCTGGCTCCAGTCTCTCTCCCCACCCCTACCCCATGGAAACGGGCTCTGGGAGAGGCAACCTCCTCACTGCCACCACTCTTAGCTGCTTGTTGCTCGATGGAGGATCCATCCTTCCCTGGTTGCACACCTGCGGAAAACCCTGTCCTGAGTTGACTCTGCTGCAATGGCAGCCTGGGGTGCCCCGTATGGTCCACTTTTTAAATCTAAAGTTGTGTGGGAAGGGTTCCTATGTTTTGAGTTTGTGTGTTACTGTTGAATGTTACTTCGTATCCTGAGGCTTTTCATTTTATTTTTGGTTCTTTACATGGTATATACCTTGCTAGTTTAACACTAGTGTTTCCTGGCCAGTTTTGTGGACTGTCTGCTTTGATATTTTAGGTCTCTTTTCTTTGTTCTGCCCTAGTTCCCTCCCTCTGCTCTCTGCTCCTGTCACAGCTCTCCTCCATCCTTCCCAGCCTTCTGGGTGCAGAAGAGAGGCCTCCATCCTGGCAGAAGTGGCATCCCCAGCAGGGCAGTGGCAAGCATTGAGCAGCTCCTGCCCTGAGCCAAGCTAAGATCTACCATGATTGCACTGCACCCTCTGGGGCACTGGAGGGGTTCATAGACCCTCGGGAGGAGCAGGCAGCTACGGCATCCTGGCCTCCAAAGAGGGCTGTGCCAGCACTCAAGGCTGAGCGTCTTTCCGCCTCTGAGCCTCTCTTGTACAGCAGCTTCTGTTTGATGAGAGAATCCAAACCAGGGAGACAACAAAAATAGTCTTGCCCAGGAATGCTGACAATGCAAATGGATATGGCTGGGTCCAAGGTGGTGCCCAGCTGGCCAGCAGAAATGGCCTTCCTGGGCCTGCCCCTTAGTCCAGGTGGCCTTGGGGACACAATGAAATGGAACTCTTGCTGGTTGATTGGTTGTCTAGATGGATGGATGGCTCTGAAAATCCTGCCCACTGTGAAACACATAACTTTTGACTATTTTTTCATTACTTTGGTTGGGGGAGGGGGACAAGTCTGGATAAAACAAAGTATAAATGAGGTGAAGTCTCTAAGCAGCCTTTGCAATGTACAAAAACTAGAGCAAGTGAAACCAAAAATGACGTTCTTGGTGTTTTTCTATAATGTTGTCTTGTTAGCTTTTTTGTTACTGTAATAATGCTGATCTCAAATTGTACCAAAATACATAGAGATGGACAAAAGCAGAACCACACAGAACTCTAAAAACAAACAAATTTTGTCACAAAACACTTTGTTGTCATAGTTAAGTTGATTGTAGATGGTAATTGAATATACTCCTTTGAAAATATTCCATCAAGTATGTTTCCTGCTCATTGTGGTACATTAAAAAAATGAGCCAAAGCTCTTGTCTCTGCTGTGCCAGAGTGTGGTGAATGCAGGGGTCTCTCTGCCCAAGGGAAGAACATTCCCCCAGGCTGAACAGGACAGGACAATGGGACAGGGCCCTGAAGGCCAACCACTTGGCAAAGGCATGAGGATGTCCAGTTTTGGGGTGGTGGGCTCTGCAGGCTGTCAAAAAGCAGGCATTGCTCCTCTGTGGTCCCAGGTCAGTTATCTGCCAGGGTTCTCAGATGCTGGTTTTAGAGGAGGAATGGGAGAGAGCACAGCCAGAAACAGCTGCCTGTGTGAAGAATGGCGCTTTCCAAAGGGGGGCAAATCTGAGACCAGCATTGAGCTCAAACGCCACTGGACTTCCTTCCTGTAAACCAGACCAGGAGACAAACACAGGGAAGTGAAAGGGGGGGAAGATAGGATGGAGGGTAATAGAGAGCCCTTTCCAATTTCCTGTGGATGCTGCACTCCAACTTCAGTGACAGAAAGTCACTTTGCAAGTTTGGGATGACTCATCACAGAATAATGACTGGGAGCCTGTGTCAAGAAAGCAGGACTGGTGGGGGGGGGTTTCTTTGCTGGAGTTTAGGAGTGTTCCCCAAAGAAACCTTTCCACCTGGCTGCTGGGCCCATTTCAAATTATTCCATTGTAGTTTCTCACTGCTGGCTACTTGTGTGCATGGGGGGGGGCATTGTGGGGTGGAATAGAAAAAAATAAAAACAAAAATATATATTTTTCTTCAAACTGAGGAAAGGGGGGCATTGTGAGACCCATTTTTTGCTAACTAAATATAAGCAAATATTGTAGAAAGCTTCTCAAGTGGTGTTTAATACAGAAGCTCTGGAATGGAAAAGGCCCGACAGGTGTGGAATCCAGCAGCAAACAGAGATCTGCCTCCTGGGCTCACTGTCATTGTTCTTCTCTCTCCTGAGATAGAAATGGAGCTGAGCTACCTCGCTCCGCGAAGGCCCCGGCCGCTCGGCGCGGAGGATAAACCGGGGGCTCCAAGCGGGCAGGATCCGCCAGGGGCGCTTCCGGGAAGAGCAGCACAGCTATTCACTTGGCCCTCCACCCTCCTGTTCTTGGTAGAATTGTGTTTCTGATTATCTTTCAAAAGAGAACATTGAAGCTAACATGCCAGGATAATGACAGCTCCATGTGGCTGCAGAGCTAAGGGGGGTTATGCAATTTTTTAAAAGATGGCTTCGGTTTCTGTCCCACGCAATTCTGTCACTGGCCTCCCAGACTGGCATAAAAGAGGCGTTAATGCTTCAGGGAGAACATTTCACTCCTATTCAGGGAAGGCACGTTCCTCGGGGCCCCGTTGCAGCCTTGTCCCTTTCCAGCCCAGCATAAAAAGTATTCGTGCATTGATTTCCACAGGGAGATCAAGCATCGGCTTTTGTTTGGAGTGGAAGGAGATGGGCTTTCAGGGCAAAGAAACGGAAGAGGCTTTGTCTGGCCATGGATGCTGCTCATGGGGAAATGGAATAAAAAGCCTTTTCCACTCGCTGGGGCGGAGCTACCTCGCTCCCCGAAGGCCCCGGCCGCTCGGCGCGGAGGGTAAACCGGAGGCTCCAAGCGGGCAGGATCCGCCAGGGGCGCTTCCGGGAAGAGCAGCACAGTGTGCTCCACGTGGCGGCGGGCCCCGCCTTGACGCGTCCTCCGCTGCCGGGCAACGGTGGGCTCCCTTTTCCGATTGGCTGGTACTGGCGGCGTCGCGGCCGGGCGCCTCTGCTCTGCCCCGGCCGTTGAGCGCGCATCTCCCCGGGCGGCTCGGATTGGTTGGCTGCGGCGGGGGGTGGGGCCAGAGCCCGGGGCGCCGAAGGCCGAGGGGGAAAGGGGGCGGGGAGGCCGCCCTCGGTGGGCGCGGGCGGAAACGCAGGTAGGCCTCTCGAGCTCGGCTGCCCGCTCTCCGCGCGGGCCGGAGCTCCGGCGGGGGAGGCTTTGGGGCTGCCCTTCGGTAGGAGAAGCTGAGCGCTTCCGCTCCGCTCCGCTCCGCTCTGTGGGAACGCCGTTCGGCTATGGGGCGGCTTGCGCGTTCCGTGCTCCTTCTCCCCCAACACGCCCAGAGCCAGCCACGGGGCTTTTGATCTGGCGAAAGGGCTCCTCTTGGCCTTGATTGTGCCCGGGGTCCGCTCTCTTGCCAGCCGCACGGGGAGCCGGGCCCGTCCTGGCAACAGGCGTCTGTGGACTCGGCCGTCCTGGAGAAAAGCTTCCCCTTCCCCAGCACCCCGGGACCCTCCAGGCCCTGCAGAAGCTCAGCAATGTTGCGCCGAGCCCTTTTAAACTGGGGTGGCCGAATTTCAGATCCCAGGCGGCAACAGCAGCGATAGGTGCTGGCGGCTCTTTTCAAAACTAGCGTTCCTCCTTGGCCCTCTAGGCACAAAGAAGATAACAGGGGCGGCGCAAATAATTCTGAGAAATTGCAAATCATGAAAGCTGAAGCATGTTCCCGTCTCTCCTGAAATGAGGTAAATTTGGTCTGTAGATTTTTAGGGGAAAATTTTCTCCCTGCTGGTGGCAATAGCTGTGAGCTCTGCTTGAATGAAAGTGGCTTGGGACATGTGTGGATGGGGGAACATTTTGACTTCCTATCTTTATTATAACTGCTCACAAGGAAATAGACCTGTGTTTCAGTTCTCCTGGTTTGGGAGTAAAGGCCGTTTCTTCCCTTGTAA